TGATTACCAATACGCTCCGAGAATTCGCTGAATACATTGACAGTGCAGTAATTTAAATAACTTGAAACGATAGTTAATTTTTCAGAGGTAACAGAAATAACTTAATCCTTACTAGCTGAATAAATAGTGCACTAGTGGGATGACAAGGACACACTCACAACTTTCCTAATCCTTCAAAAGTAAGAAAGCATAATACTGTTTACAACTACATAAACTTAAACGAATCAATTTTAGTGAATTGTGAATACAGTACGATACGATCTGTCAACCAGTAATAAATTTAGATTCTGATTCAAAATTATCCACATTCTAGGAGACAGATTCACTTACTGAGATAGCTTACGACCATGATCGGTAACTTTTGTGGAGACGAGAAGACTTGGTTTGTAGTTAATAATCAGGATTGTCTCGTGCTAACAAGATCCTAGACAAATCATTAACCCATCCTTTGACTAAGGAGCCACACGTAACGTTACTACCACGAGCAATCGATCACCCGACTCAGAGGATTTATAAAAACGACAATATAACGATACTCAAACACTAGACAGTGAGATTAACTAACCGCTTCGATCATGAAAGGGTCAGTAAAGCATACTAAAGTGCCTAAATCGTGGATTACTTAATCACAGGCAAATGTACCCCGACTTAAAAAGTCGTATTTGACACAAATTTCAAAAACGACTGCTTACAAATATTAGAGGCACTAAAATCACCAAAATGTCCAACCAATACCAACTACTTCTCATTACACAAGGATGATAGCACACCTCCCACATTTTTCATATGTTAAACGATAATTTCGTTAATGCATACATTTTATGAGATAACAAATATATATACTGTTTCGGTAAGTGGATCAAAATGCTAGGATAACAAAAACTTAAGCCGGACATATATTCCAATATTTTTAAGAAAAGCAAGCACTGCATGATTTCAAATTACCGCCTATAACATACTTCTCCAGTAGTAGTACAACTTCTTTGTCACCAACATAATAATGCTTCATTTTTACAATATGAGGATTCAGATGACCAATTTTCACCATATCTATCTCTTGCATTATGCTTGCCAATGTATCTTTCCCACAGCGCCATCTCCTTATTATTTTAGCTGCAGATACTTCTCCACTTTCACAATGTCTAACTAAAGAAACTTTGGCGAACCGTCCTCTGTAAACAGCAAAAATATAATTCCATATAGAGACAATACCCACCTTCCGATCTCCGTTTCGATCCTGTATTCAGCAGTAAAGTTCTCAGTTTTATGCACACTTTTAAATGTTTGCCCATTCGCGTACGCCGTCTGTACGATGCAAGACATACACAATAGTTGGGACGCCGATCAGGACGGTGATTAAAAACAAATTCGAATATCCGCCAACCGATTGGAACATCATAAACAAACAGTTGGCGATACATCTAGGACCATAACAACTAAAAATGATTTCACTTACAAAAAATGGCAGAATGAATTATCAAATTTTGTTGTGTTATTGTAAGCTGTCTACACTATTCAAATTCTGGTAATTTTGTACGTTTAAAATTCTTAAAACTTGTAAACAAAGTTATAGACAGTTAATAATGTGCAAATTTGACGTCGCTTAAAAAAATATTGTTGTTTTGACTGTCTTTAACTTGGGGATAACTGCACGAAGCAGTAACTTATCCGAAATTCTCTTTCTACTAATATTCAAACTTACATCCTCATTGTGTAAATACTAGGAGTCTCCGATTTTGCCCACTATTCAGATTTAACCGAAAACTATCCTATGTTCTCTCGTCTTATTTCTTATGTCGCAGCCTTGAGTATGTACTCACAAAAGTTGAGAGTTACATCCCCCTTCCATATCTTGATTATCGACTTCAATAGGGTCAAAATCTTGAAGTTGCTTACTCTTATTCATTTTTCTACTCAACACAGGCGAGGGCACAAGAGGTAATAAAATGATATTATACTCTAGCGATAGTTCTTTTAGGTTAATCCAAAGCCATTTGTTGCACATTAACATCACGAAGCATTAAGAGTCAGTCTTATCTTTTAAGAAATAACGTTAATAAAAATCCAAGCCACTATTTTGTCTGACGTACGAGTAATGTTTTTCTGCTTCCGAATGAACAGGGTAAAGATGATTTAGCGTTACTGTCATGAGTAGACTATCACGTCCTTAAAATGAATGAAATACAGTGTAATTAACTATATCTGATTGCTGAACCAAAACAAGACAACGAAAAATGGCAACTGAATCCGTTTATTCAACAATTACGACAAGCTCAGTCACTGGTAGAACAACACTGATAAGATGTCAATTACAACTGTCTAAACTTTAACGATAAGACTAAATCTCTCAATATTTTCGTTGAACATTCCTGTTAACTCTATATTCCACTCACAAAATGCAGATCCCACACAATAAAACCATAAACATTCAAGATATGGTTACATTTTGGTCGGAAAATGGAATGCGGGCACGACCAGGAAAGGTAGACGGTTCAACACCTTACATACGCTGATAATTTCCAATCGAATTATTGAGAGACGATTAGCTTGAATGTGATGATATGCCTTCTCTTTTTGCTGAACTCAGGGAACCTGAGGCTTTTAACCGGTTATCTCTAAAAAATTCTGTGTTATCAGCTGGAAACGTCTGTACGGACAGGTGACACCTTTCGTTAGGTGATTCTTATAAATATGCGTAGCACGATGGAAATTCTGTTTGTGGCATGTTTTTGATCACATGGAGAAATCATAAACCATTAACTCCGAATTCCATCTTTGGATCGTGATATCAGGCTATAGATGAAGCAGCCTATTTCGGTAGCAAATAAACTAGAGGTAGCCGTAGTGAAGGTTAATTCAGTTTTTTTTCATCGAACAGGTAATTATTCAGCGTTTTAATGATCCGGGCTATAACTAAGACCTTTTTTTAAGTTTGGGAAAAGATGTTCAAAATAACTTTATTGTCTCATAAAGATCAAATTTCATTCTAGAAATAAGTCTATTCACAACTGGGGTATATCTGAAACGGCAAAAACATTTCTGAATGAACAAGTTGTCTAGTATTCAAGTGTAGCTTATACAGTAGATAGAATCAGGTTTAAACTGACAACCGTTTGGATTCGCAACAGCTCATTTATTGGGAAAGTGTCCAAATAACTTAAAAAGAGGTACAGAATGGGACTCAGTATACCTAATAAGTGCTAGGACAACATTTTGTTAGGGTTCGGGTAAAGCAGAAACTGGTAACAAGCTGAAACATGAACTTCTTTGTCAATTTAGGGAATGTATGCAATTCAAACGATGAGGAGTTGATTCAAAGAAATCATATGGTGTAATAATGGCAGTTAACTTGCAACAAGTAAAAATGGTTGTTGATGTCAAATAACCATTATATCTACCGTTGTTTTGCGTACAATGTTCAAAACCTTGTGTTTGAAAAGAGAATCCCGTTCACTAACCGCTTTGTTCCATGACTTGAATGTAGACTTACTCTAACCAATAGTTTGGTTTCTTCCATAAATAAAAACTGTAGTAACTACCAGCAATAACATTTCACTTGAAGCCTCATCCTCGAACATTTAAGAATATTCATTGTTCATCTTTATACCTTAGTCCAATCCCATTCAAATTATATTATGTATCTTCGAATTCTCAAGCCATTTAAATTTGTTGGAATAAACAAATATTAGTTGTCAAGTTGTAGTGATTAAAATTTCTAGCTTTTTACTCGTCAGCCGTTGATAAAGTCATATAGAAATTAACACAAGTGGATGACCTAAATGAGGTCGAAATGTCTGATTCTATGTCGAGCTCATATGAGTCATTCTCGCTTCTGAAGGAACCAATTTATTTGTATTTTTACCTTAATAATTCCTCGTTTCGTATTCCTGATTGTTTACGGATGCGTGTGCGTATACAGCCGCTGTCATAAAAGTCCTAACCACTGCCTTCTCGTGTTGTTTATGAAGTTGAGAGGACGAAAAGCGAATGTCCGGTGCTTTAACCGGGCTGGTGGACACGGGGGTCCACTTAGAAGAGTTGAAAAACCCTGATTCCAAACCGGTTGTGCACATCGGCTCCAGTATTTTGAAGGAACAAATTGTGTATGAACCAATTGTCGGTCACGGGCTACCATGTGACTACACCTCCTAACGTTGGTCCACCTATGTGTTGAGTATTGAACCTTTGTGTCAAAGGCTCGGTGAGTGGCCTTTCTAAGAAAACCACCTGCTTCGGTTTGGACATACGGGCAGTATCCTAGCCCTCGCAAAGATCGAATGATTTATGTGGCGCATATATATTTGGTGCTTCATTGTACTAATGTTTATGTGTTCAGATGAATAAATAAATTACCCTACACACCACATCCTTATAGCTCACCTTTGTCTGATTAAATGTCACGTCACGCTTTATCAAGTAAAGGTGAAATGCTTGATTTTTCCGCTTTCCTCTTATTTCTTGTTTTTCATTCTGAATATCTGTTCGGATTAATGAGTGCACAAAATATATTTACTCAAAATTCATTCTCAAGTTTAACTTGTTTGGTTCCATTATTCATTTATGTAATATATACGTTGGTAGCTGGGATATATATATCAACAACGTTATCGACAATGTCGTCATTCCACTAGCGGATTACTACTCCTTCCTTAAATATTTTATCGAACCTCCTTCTCAGTCTCCACGTCTCGATAAAAATGAGCACTTTTCTCACTGTACAGATGGGATTTCATTCATTTCCTTGTTTTTGAATTTTATCATAAACGTTTTAATCAAGATAACACCGGAAGATTTATTTTACCAAAAATGTTAGCGTCTGGTAATTTAATGCCCTTTCATTCAAGCATAGATGAGGCGCACTTACTAACTAAGAAAGCATTGTCCACAAAACCACCCTTCTCTTTCCTTGACATAATATTAACTTGTGATGAAGAGGAGTGTTTGAATTATAGTACGAATTAAAAATTCCAGAAATAACACTTCATCAAGAAGAACTATATGAGCAGGAATGAACGTATTGTATTTGGAATTCAAAATCAAACAGTCACCAAATACAAAGTAATCATTAGTTCATACAAACCTCATATCCGTCTAAGTTTCTGTAATCGATTGTACGTCTTCTCCTTGTGTTCATTCTGTGTCTGATCAACAGTGTATTGGATGTAGACTCTGTATGATCTAGAATGTACACATTAGTATTAAAATTAACAGCTGCAGGGGGGACGGTATAATCTGAATCCTGGAATTGTATACAATCACTATGTCGACTGTGTGCTAAACCCATAGATATCTAGAATTCGAACCGTATATATTCGGACACTATCCTCTCCCACGAAATAATGTTGGGTCTTTATATCCTCAAGCTATGGATAAAGTGGCTTTATTTAAAACATATTTCTCACATTGACTAGAGTATTCATTATAAGTGACCTCATGATAAAGATAGATAACAAATGATATAAAATCACCCGAATTGTAATCAAAGTCGAACTCATTTAGTGCTTCCTAGTGAACAAGTTTATCGCAAGAAGAAAATGCGTTATGAGGATAAATGACATAGGATATGACATCAAGATCTGATTCTTTTGAAATATTTTTCTGAAATTTATTAAGAATGTCATTAAAGAGTAATGGACCATTACAAAATTCAGCACTTATCAAAACTGTATCAGATTTTCAAGCATGATTTGATACATTCAACATATTCTCCTCAGGTGAATAAGAAATTTCATCAAAAATATGTGAATAGTTAGGACAAACCATACTTGGTACAATGACATGAGAAACCCGATATAAAGTTGATTGACTAGAAGCTTTTGATTTACAATGATTCTAAGTTTCGTCTAACTATGAACTGCTATATGATTCGATACTGTTTTCCGAAGAGGTGGGTAAAGATAAATGATCACTAGAAACACTCGACTCAAAAGGACCAAAATTACAAAGTTTTTACTAGTTGCAGCAAAATGAACAGTAGTATTACGAACTGGTAGATGTGTCGAATCTCACCACATTAAAAGCATTTAGAATTACGAAATACACACGAAATAAGTGAGTGAAACTTGCCACAGGACAAATACCAAACTTGTACCCATCTTCATGACCTGCACCACATTTCCCCGATGAATTACATACATAACCTTCAGTACGCATGGATTGAAATTACGTAGTAATGTAGTAGAATATTTGATGTCCTGATGGATCATTTTACGAGATTTTCCTCCTTTACGTAGTCTAGTAGTAATTTCTTGAGAGTTGCACAAGGGAGTGAAATCTGCTTGTCTAGAAATACCAAATATTTTATTAAGCTGCATGCTTGCTTCCCGATTAACGTAAGGAAATGGGCCATAATGTTGACGTCCTCAACATCTTCCTTGATCATAGGCCAGATTTCGAACATTTTCATGTAATCCTCGAAATCTGAATGTATGTCCAATTGTTCCATCACAGGCTTTAACATGATGGCTTAAAGTATTTAAACTATAGTACAAAATAGGAATCCCATGAATTACGCAATTTAATCAAGAACTATATGTGCACGAACGAACGTGTTGTATTCGGAATTCAAAATCAGGCGGTCATCAAGTGGAAAGAAACAATTAGTTCATGCAAACACCACATATCTGGATCAACAAAAAGTATTTAATGGTCAGTGAGCAAGATACGTGTGTATTAAAGGGCATCATTATAAAGAAAAAACAAGTCTCGTCTCGGAAATCATTGACACCGTTCTTTCATTGTCAATAATAAATAAGTGAAAAGTGAATACGTTAGTGATTAGTTTGCTCACTAAACTTGATGGACTGTTGAAGGCAGTAGTAAGTGAGAATGATTCAGTTTTCCTGTCCAAATAAGATAGTCCTTACCCGCCATCATTAAGTGTTTTGGTTGTATAATCCTTGTAATTGTCACAAATCCGAAGTGATTTTTGGGTAAGTAATTAACACATATAGTCACATAAAGATAGGCTAAATAAGCTAAGGGAAAGGTTAAAATGTGGCTTGAAAAGAATGAATAGATTGGTTTGTTCAGAAAGTAGAATAGCCCATGTAAACAGCGATGTATTTGTGAACGATAATCAGTGGGTCATGTTTTGTGTTCACAAATCAGAAAAATAAAGGGTCACGTTTCTTGAACGACAATTTTACAGGTAATAGTGGTGATTGTACATATTGAAGTAATTGATGAAAAGTGCAAATATTACCAAAACTAATTACAAAAAAATCTACTTCATCTAACCCCTACAGAAGAAATTTGAGTGTTCCATGAAGCAATAGACTTGCTTCCATACAATATCGACACATCATGTTGTCAAAACAGTATCACTTTGGTCTCAACTGACATCATACATAAAGCAATCCTCAGTTGGCTAAAAAAGGCAGTGACAAATCTACTTAAGTTTTCGGTAGTTTAGTGTTAATTTTACTAACAACTAGGCAGTCACTAATCTAAGTATGCAGCTGATTAATGGGATTGTGCTTAAAAGCATGCGTTTAAACCTGTAGTATGAAATGTATGGTAGCCTAACTCGGAGAACGAACTAATTTATTGAAAAGTTGTCTTCCCCGTGAAAATGAACTTTCAGTGACCACTTTAGCTTGCTGAATGGAAAGGACTACCAGTATATGCACAACCTTCCTAAAAACTAAGAGCTTCTTTGCCAATAGCAGTTATGAAGTGAACCGAATGGCTATCGTCCTCAGAACTGTGATAAGCGTTATGGTAAAAATATTGTTTTCGTTTCCGTCAGCGATGCGCTGGTAGGTACCTTCCCACAACTATTAGAATTAATGCTTATAGTGACACCTGTTACGAGTTTTAACAATGTTGCGAACTAGTAACAGTCACAACAGAAATACACTTTTGCGACAACCGGAATTCTTAGGCTTTCAAAGCCAAAAACGCAAAACACGATAGGAATGACGAATATCGGCAAAATAACGGACAGACTGAATCATAATCTTAGATAAAAACAAACATCCGCAGTTCAAATGACGAGCTGATCATAGTTTGAACAACAATTGAAATATGAAAGGACTAGATGGTCATTTCGTTCTAGAAAGACTCTTCACTAGCGCTCTTTCACAAACAGCGATATGTCTAAGATTAGTTTCTCAACAAACATCATAAATCAGTAGAAAAAACGATAATCATAACAACAGATCCAACTAGGTTACGAAGATTAGTCAGTTTTGTGAGCATTCAGCATGCTAGTGTTTCAGGTAGCTGGACAATCAAGTTTCAACCTAAATTTAGACGCAATTCTTACTGTAACTGTATATTCCAGTTACAGGTAACTTCCTTACACGTACCAAATGTTGTCTACAATTTAAATACCGTTCTCTCGAAATGCTACAACGGGAGAGACTAGTGTTATCCAGCTCTTTTGTGAATGTATACTGGCTCAAGAGAAGCAAGGCGTAACGCGACGCTCGACCCAGACGGTTTTGCAACAGTCCCGCATATTCCTTTTAACATCCATATATTTTTACTCGCATCCTACAAACAGACTACACACGTGGTCAAGAAATTCAAAGTATTGATGCTGGGCTCTGAATGCAAAATTTCAATGGATATCAGGTGAATCCCAGTGCTCTGTACTCAACTATCCTTGTCCACTAAAAGGAAAAATATAAACCTTTGTCCCTTTATAGAACAGAATTTAAGTGTCCATGTACTCGCAATAAGATTGGTGGCTTATAATTATGGTCATTAGTATCTTAATAAGTTGATATGACCTAACAACTACACACCGAAAGCCAACTATAACTAAGAGGTTATTATGAATTTCACATTTACATTTACTAAACTAAAATTTACCCTGAACTTTAGTTGAGACATTTCGACCTAAAAATTAGGGTAAAATTTAACAAACAAGCAGAAGTGTCTATTACCTCAAATCAAATAAATATCGTGACAATCGACTTACATTTGTTGCTTGTCTAAATATCGCTGCTTCAGTTTGTTTATATACGCGTAAAAGATAATTCAGTCCGAAGACATTATGAGAAAGCTTAACTTATAGTGATTGAATCTCGATTTACTTTGATGTACGTAATGTATGGATACTACTACCTAAACGCCTCTGAAACCATTCAAAAGTTACTGCCGCTGTCAATTTAGACTGAAGGATTAAGTTTGGAAGCCAGTTCAGTAAGTTCACTTTGTGAAACCTAGCTATGAGAAAACTAACCAGAAAGGACCACTAGAATTGTTGTGTGGAAATTGAGGGGTCTTCCATTAGTTGAGTTATGACACTTCATGGCACTGAGCAAGACTCTTCGTAAGCCACAAGCCTAACGACCAAAGCAACAGTTAGTGTCAGCACGTGAATTGTACGAACGTGGGTTTCATAGTGATCTAAATAAGAGTGTAGATAATAGGACTTTGGTTCATACGAACTAAGTGAAAGTGTTTGGACGCAATCTAGACAAAAAGGAGTTGCATTAATGCTTCCAATGGAAGCGTAAAACGAATTGATGGAACTGGAAACTCTCAGCTTTAGTATTGCTTTGCTGAGAAAAAGAAAAGGTGTAAGACCCTTTTGGTATGTTTTTGTGTGCGTTAAAATCTACTTTGTGTTGATAATTCGTTATCTTTCCTCAACATTTAAAATGACTAGGTATTCATAAACAGCTGTCTGTGCAAGATACTCCAAACTCATTGGCGAGACCAGCAGTAACCAATGCTGAGAGAACAAGCCGGTTGAGGAAGAAATTAGGGAGGTGGACGGAACAAACTTTACGGTACACATCACCAAAAGGGGAACCCCAACTCGGAGTTCTCAAAGCAAAGGAACAGAGACAAGACGTAGAAACATATGACCCTGGAAATTGGCGTAAGGCATACAGGCTATGAATATTATTCGGGAACAACTTAAAACGAGAGGATTACTGATGGGTAGCTTTTGGTCAATGACAGGTAGCACGTCTAAGTGGTAAAGTAACTTTATATGAGGTATAGAATTATTAATGAAATTGTATTCGGTATAAAAAGTAGTCAAAGAGAAACCAACAACGGGTTGAAGCTATTCGGGTGAAAAGACACACGTGAAATCTTTACATAAAGAGGTTTCTCAGGATTAATTTGAGTGCATAAATACAAAGTTAGTCCATGACATCTGAAGTGCCCATACGATGGGTGGCGTGATGCATTGTTTTAGGGTAAGAACGCCTGGATGGTAAACCTGCACGTCCTTTTCCCTGTGTACTGACTGGACCCAAGTAGGGGAGGAAGGATGAAGTTTCTTCATAAACTTGAGTCCGAAAAAAAGGCTAGAAATGGAACATGAAAGGATGTGGTGATTCGTTTCATAATAGTATCATGTGGCACGATGACATGAGATAAAACATCCAAGACAGAAAAAACGCAAACTATTAATTTGAAATATGTAAAGAATTAATACTAACGGAGAATATTTTATCTTGCTAAAAAAATAATACCCATAGATTATCACTTGATTTTATGTGCGACCTGTTACCTAAACTACAAACAACAGGACCAAAAGATATACATATCATTTGGGAAGGAAAAAGCATGATGCATAATATATTATACAGTATTTCAAAAGGTACTGATTACACATTAATGAGTATTTGACAAGTCTAATATTATAGGAATCGTTTTGTCGCATAAGTATTTACATTCTTTGAATAGAAAAATCAAAGGTAAGCAGTAAGGAATGACTCCATAGTATTATGAATCAAACTTGTTTTATATACATAAGAGATAACAACCCAGGTGGTGAATGAGAAATTCGAGAATAGCAAAACAAACGGTAGACATTTCTCAAGTTACTACTGATTAACTCCATCCACTTAACATCAGGTCAACAAGTTGAAATTTATGATGGCTGATACATACGATATCATATAAAGTTAGGAAATAATAATCCTGGTGGACGAGTGTGTTTTAGAAGATAAATTAGTTTCTAAGCCATAAGCACATTTATTAATGTGGAGATAAAAATATAGTCTTTTGTATGAGTGAGACTACTCAAATAAAAGTGATTAGAGTGACTAGATAAATCTAATGATGGACATTTTCCTGAATATTTCACTTTCGAAATGTTTTCAGAAGTGAGAGTGAACTACCTGCATAATACGTAACACAATGTACTGATAATGAATGTCGCAGTTAAGGATACTAGATGCAACGTGGAATCACGAGATGAAAGAACAACATATTTTTACAGATTGATTATTAGGTTTGCAGGAGGATACCCCATAAGCTTTCTGTTTGCTTAAACAATAATGCAAGCAAGCAACTGAATACGTTTTAAAGTTATGAAAATAATTCTTTTTAAAAACGGAAATTATAGGATGCAAAACATTTGCACATTTATACCTGATCTAGGAAAAAACAATTGGGTAAGTTGACATTACCACGCAGAATTCCTGTCACTTTTAACAAATCATCCTCAGAAACACCAGTCGTTAAATAAATTACACCAGCAGTAGGATCAACAGCGCGACAAATGGCTAAAAAATGTTTGTAATAAATAAGAGAATAACACAAACCTCGGTTCTTCAAACAGCAGCGCGTATCATTAAGGTGCAAAAGGTATTAACAGTAAACCCATAGACAAGTGATTCAGATATTTAAATAACCGCTGTTAGAGTTATTTATAATCAGACAGATGAATCTAAAACATTCTCGAACTAATCATAACTGAACTAAATGGACTTAGACTGTAGAATTTCTTTCCGACCTCATTTGTCCACTTTGACTGTGAACGTATTGAAAGCACAAAACAATATAGTGAAAAACGGAGAACATCACTGCACATAATAAGTTGTTAGCTAATTTTATCGTTTACAGGTTGGAATAGTAGGTCTAACCAGTTTGAGATAACTAGATAAAACGAGGCTTGAACTCAAAGAAAACTAACAAAGCATATAACCTAGACACTTCAGTTTTAAACAGAGTAAATCTGAGTTTAATATGTTGCTATTTCACATCATACTAAAATACAAATGTTTCGGAACATTTTTAAAACAAAGCTATTCTTGTGAGCACAGTATAAACGTTCCACTTATAAATGGATAGAAGAAGAATTAGACAAAGTCATGAGACAGGAACAGAAACAATAAGCACGAGTTAAGATATAAGATCCCAATTGACCTAAATACTTCAGACTAGGGCCCACCTGGAAGCAATTCCATGTAAAATATTTTCTTTCACAATAATCATTACCAAATGCCATAATGAATGTAATATAAATCCAAGTGACTCGATATTGTGTGGAAGTCAAGATGTCAGGTGGTTGGAGGCAGTCGATAGGAAATAGTACGCCTAGATTTCATGTCAGTTGGGATTCGTCAACAAGGTACGGTTGTAATCTTAAGGACTAGACAAACATGACGATGATTAGTGATAAGTGGTCAATTGTAGATACTTCAGCCCTACAGGACAGTCGAGACCCGAATAGCTCAGTGGTTAAGTTGTAGATTGTGAAGTTGAATGAAGGAGATTCGAATAACTTATGGAACATTAGTTCCATCAAGACTATAAACATGCCATGTTGACGAGTGTTAAACAGCACGAAACCTATGTCAAGTACATCCTGTAGACTACCTCCGACCACCTAATACTATTGAGAATGTATTCAAAAATGTGACTTATGATGAAAGAAATAATGTGACTAAATAATCATAAATGGATTTCACTTCCATAAACAGATTTTTAAATATATATACCATTGAACTTATATTAGCCGTTAGAGCACTGATAAATTTCATGAGGAACTGTAATTAGAATATTTTACATTACTTATCATGAAAACTGACAAAGAATAAGTATGTCCATCAGCATCATTTTCATGTTGTACCGTAAACTTGATGTATATAAAAATTCACAACTCACCTAGACCTACACACTCACAAACCGGATTAGATGATATCCAACGATACATGCAAGTAGAATCTGGTTCGGTTATCTACAAAATAAGGTAAAATATTGAACCACAAAAGTATGAAATCGAACGAAAATGAACCTAGCTGACGAATTAGATTAAGTCGACGTCCATCAAATCACCAATAGTCAGTCAAATGCAACGCAGAACCTATGTAGTGGATTATATTTGAGATAAATCTTTAGGCTTCGTATACTAATTGCCCTGGTAACCGTTATTAAATAAATCCAAACTATTTACAAATTCAGCACGCAACAAGAAGTGCCAACTTAGGTCTATTATTGAGCGGTACAGGTCACTAAGGCATAAATACATCAAAAGAAATAGAGCATAAACGCTAATGAAAGCGAGTGAGCGAATGCAGAGGCGAATCAAGCATACATGTTCATACAAACGTGATAATAATACCAAGACATACAAATTGCTACTGTTAAGATAACACTATCTGTTAGATAAGTTAATTGAAGGGGTTTAAAAAATTAGACGTTAACAAACTTAAGCGTAGGAGAGGAGCTATACCTAGCACGTAGTACCCAGTTTAATTTGCCACACTACTAATAAGATGATATTCAATACGTGTAACCTATAAAATAAAAATGACAGTTATTTGGTATTCACTACTTTCATTGATAGGACATTACATATGTGATCAGCTGACCTGTACATCGACTTAAATAAACTGTCGTCAGCTAAGAAATCATATTTTATTTTTCTACTAAGTATTTTTTTATTAAACTTTGTTAGAATATTAGATGACAATAGATGTGCACATTAAATGATTAGTCTTGTGAAATGTAAAGTTATTTATACAAATTTTGTTTACATTTTCTCTGTACTTCAAAGGCTTACAACTTTAGACATTATGGGAATTACGTTATGGTTAGACAATTAGATAGGGATCAAATAATAGGGACTTGACTATTTATAATAAAATGATGAGTTGATTGTTGTTTAATACCGTAATTCCCTTGATTAATTAACAACAAAAAGAGGATTCTCAAATTGAATCTGTCAGATGAGGGATTGTACCGTGTATCTGAGATATGGACGAATATCCAGAAATTCATTCACAATAAATGTTAAAATGTAAACTATAATTTAAACAAGTATTTTGGTTAATTCCTCTCATTAGGTCTTACGGTTACAAAGAATTAAATCACTAGACCTTATAATGAAAAACTTTTACCACAGAGCATATGATTAATGTAAAATATGGTAAAGGAATCATAGAAAATGTCACATCTTAGGTGATTATATTAAATATTAACAAAACAAGGAAAATGTTATATCTTTTGCCCGATTAATTAACATGTATTAAGATTGCCAATCAGAATACGGCTTATACAATCTTAGCACTGTATCAATGACGCGTTGACCGGTACAAGCAGCCTAGAATGAATTCTGAATCCTTATTGGTCCTTCTCTCCCAGCCCTGTCCATTTGAATCCAGAACACAAATCCCAGCTCCCACTGTATGAGTCATATATTTGACACACACTAGGTTTATATACAAACAAACCAGACCGCATCACACCGTAAAATAGAAAATAACAATTATGCAACATCAATTCAAAAAATGGCTGTAACTAGTAAATTAGGAATAACTTAAGAATAATAGATAGTGTAGTAGTAGTCAATAGGTCAAATGGGAGCTTATAATAAAAGGAATATGAATATACATGTAATATAGTTACTTAATAGTTACACAATAAGAATATATGTATAACATTAGACCACAAATAATTCCCAGACGTTACCATTCATTTATACTTTGTTAAGATATAACAGAAAAAACTAGTTTAGGATTTATTCAATCGAACTTTATTGTTACGATAAGGAAATTTAAAGCAACTTTCCGCGAAAAATGACTTAAAATACAAACAGTCGTATATACTAATGTAAGGCAAACTAATTTATTCACTTTGTTAATTACATTTTAATGACAAGAATGATTGACTAGATATGGTAAGTTTGTGGTTTCAACCAGTTTGCACAAGAAAACGATAGAAGCAATATGATGAACAAAACGATTTTAAAACTTAAACTTAAACACACACAAGAGGGGATTATAAATCACTGGAAAGCAAACAACCGTTAATAATCAAAGCATAAATATATAATATCATATATTACGGATGTATTTATATACGCAGAACTTACATTATGTTGTGGTACAACGCAAAGGGCAACTAGGGTAGCATTTAAACAAGCTAATAAACTATCGACACTTGATGGAAAAGCAAAATTTTCTGCAAATAGATTAGAATCTGGGCGCATTATCCGAAAGGCCAAATGATTTGAATCATTCTTATTAGTGTATAACGAATCAATTTCTAATGTGTCGTGCTGAACATCAAATGTAGAAACAGAGCTACTGAGTATTACATTTTTTTGTTCATTTACGTTTCCACATTTATCTTGTTGTTTAGATGGAACAGTAACTGGAACTTGGTAAGGGATACAATCCAGCAAATGTGCTACTGGATGTCCAAGAGGTTCATCTTTTAGTCTAGAAGGTAAGCTAGTATATGCACAAGCCAAAGTGGACATAAAATAAGTCAGCATCATTAAATCGCGATGATCAGGAGGACCAAGATTGTATCGTGGGTCATCTATTGTATTATACTTGTACCTATAACAATATGTACAGAAAATGAAAGCTGGAAATAGTCATAACCAAAATTTAGTGTATTTCAACATAGATATCATTTATGCATTAACAATAGTGCATCAGTGATTCATCAACAAAAACTTATTGTAAGCAACACATCATATCAACGTGAGAACTTAAAGTAAAAGGAGGAACTGAAGAGGACTATTACCAAAAAATTAAAATAATAAATAGGGTACTGGTCTGAAAAAAAATCAGTGCATAATCTATAGAGTTTACACAGGTGATATAACCTTAAACAAACTTTTTCCTTACCAAATTTATACAAACAGATTTGTGCTAAAAGCAATAATCGAACTACATTAGTTGTTTCAAACACGAAAATTTCATTTCTCACTCGAGAATTTATATTAGCTATTTCAACACTGTATTACTGTGGTGCGTACTTTAGATAAATGGAAATTTTTTAAGACTGACATTGTGAAAATGTACAGTATTATAATCTAGTTGTCGAAAATATGATGAAAACTGGCTGACTAATTGCGCAAAAGATTTTTGTTACCGATGTTATTCACAACTGGGAGTAACTAATATAAAGGAGATTCGAAAGTTTATAAAATGGTATATGAAAAGCATATTGGCGAGACCGCAAGTTATGGACGAACCAATCAGATTTACGATAACGGGTCTTTGATTTCGACGCGAAATTCTTCATCCGTCTGGCTAAATAGCGTCTTGGAATTTTAGCTGATGTCAGTCTGTGATGAAAACCCTAAATCTAATCTCTATTCTCAACCATCAACTGTAAATCAAAATCCTTATCCATTGCACAGATTAAAAACCCTCATTTAGCCACAATCAGTAGATGGACATTCTCAAGGCCACTTTTAGCATCGCTCAAAGGTCGTCCATAAGTTATAGTCTCACCAATACATCTATGAACGTATATGAAATATAAGTATTTATCTGTCTTAAAAGACAGAGATAAATATGCATCGTACATTTAAATCTTGAATAATAAAACATATTTATGGATTCTAGGACGATGGACATTTAGATCGATACATTTCATCTTAGGTTACAATTAAATATCAATCTAAACAACTTTATATCTCTAAAATCAATCACCATGTGCTTTAAACAACAAAATAACTATCGTCACCTGCTGATCATTTGTAAGCTTTTCCCAGTGGGATTAACTAGATTGATATTCACAAAAAGTAACATTATTACCAATATTATTAGACATATTTCCTCACGGGCAATAAAGATTCTGTAGTTTGTTTACAGAAAATTATACCAACTTGTTAAATAAGTCTTCAGAACTACTGAATTGAGTAATGACGAGTTGAACAAACAAATAACTAATTTCCTATTCCAGTTGTCACTAGGCTTGAAAATGAGCTGTTATGTAGTGAAGTAGGAGAGTTTAGTTAACAATAAACAAACGACCAACAAATCAAGTTATGGTAGAAAAGATAGTTGATGATGATTACTGCATTTAATGATATTGAAAGCATCATACTTATGAACTGAGAAAAATGATTATCCAATGTCTAAGAACGGTTTGTTAGTTATAAGCAACATAAAACCTAGCGTATATGTGGATCATTTCAAGTTGTCACACCACACCACGACATGTAACAGTTATATAAGTAGTAACAGTCTTAGTGGTATTAGAAAAGATTAAGCATAGAAGATATAATTTGACAAGAAAATATGGATTTGTGGAGTAAAAATTCCTTCCAGATATTTATGAAACTTAAGATCTAACGGAAAAAAGAGTGGATGCACCTCCATCATTCTGACCAATTGTGAGTCATTTCACTCAATGTTTCTAGTTATTAATGAAGATGATCGTTCAAACCTCAAATAGTCTGAACCTACTTAAACGTCTCACTCCATCACTCAATATTTTCATGGACTGATGACACATTTGGTTTGACACTCCTATCTTCCTTATAACTTACTCCTGTACCAGCCATCATTGTCCATCGAGGTAGGCGGTAGTTGGGCATACGTAATACATGTCTCATTCACATCAGTCGATAAATAATCAGTACTCCACTAATTGGCTTGTGACCCTTACCTAGTAACCGATGTCTAACTCCAACAATACTTACTCAGTGGTCTCAATACACACAAGCAATACTTCGAAAACATTCATGATCAAATACTAATAAACGACGGATATACTTTCTTTTAAAGGCTATATTTTCCAGCCTTAAAGTATGATAGAAGGAACTGCTGTTCAGTGTAGTGGTCCTTTGATTTGTAGGTAGAAGTTTCGCCAACGCCACATAGTGACAAGGGCTAGTTGTATTTTCCAATTCCGTGCTGAGATTTTATCAGATACCAACCCACGAGGGCTGATGCGACCTGGAAGTGAAATGGTCGGCGAAGACCAGTCCTAAAACAGTACCTTAGACAACAGAATTTTAATTAACCAACTTTCATAATTATAGCTGGAGTCCTTGAATAATATCGACAAATGAAACATCCATGTGGTTAATTTACGATTTGCGCTACTTACTTTAATGGTACTTACCAACCAGTTAAAGAGTCGTGCACTTAACTTTAAACCCTAATCTTAACCTGGTAGTATTCAGATGCCCAGACCACAATAGGTGACAAGGTTCCAAACTACAACTCAGTGCTTTATAGTCAAATTCTTAGTTTATTGAATAAATGATTCAGTTACTAACTAATCATACATTGTACCCAAAAGTAACAAGTAGACAATAACCATAGAACTTTACACCTATTGAGACAATCCTAGGAAACAAGAACTCATATATGAATCTGAGGATCAACATTCAATTAAAGAAAATAACCAAGTGGAGCACTCCTAAAAAATTACACTCAACACAGAGTGATGACTGTAAAAAGTCAAAATGTTTGGCAATAAAAACAACCTGACAAGAAGGCGGATGTATATACTGGATGCCTTCAATGTCTAAGACTTTGAAAAACATCACTAGCTATCACTAGTAAACTAGCTAAAAGATTATTATTTATAATCTATTTACAATAAAAATTGAATAAAAAAGGCATATTTCTGCATATTAATATTAATTAATAAATTTCAAAAATATATATATATAATCTACACAATCTATTTGGTCTAAAAATCGTTTGATATCATAACAAAGATAATTTTTCAGTGTTATTATAGACCGAAAATTATGCATATCAGCATATTGATATAAATTTAATCTAATAATTTAATAACTAATTGTGTATGCTTTAAATTATTTTCTTAAAAAAACTTGTTCTATCATAACGATTTACTAAAAAATATATTACTTCAACCCAATTTAAGTAATCTGGACAGTAATAATCATTAATAAATATAACATACAATTTGACGTCAGATTCTATAAGGATCACATCATGATTAAATGTTTCGTTGGAAATGTCCTGTAGAAAAAAGAAAATAGTGAAGTTAACATGACGAATAACAGGTAATGTACTGCTAAGTCAGTCAGTCAGTAACAACGTAGAACTTCGTACGTACGTACATCAGTTCGAGTTGCCACACCACATTAGCACAGAGATGCACTTGTCGATTCAAATCCCGTAGTGGTAGAGGTAATAAGAGCATAAGCAGTAATCGGGATGATTAGGGTTTGGAGATGTTATTTAAAGAGTATAATCCAGTGAAAGAAATTTGGAAAGAGGAAAAAAGGGACATGAAGAATTCAGAAGATTAGAATTTGGGAGAACACAGAGAGTGGATGCACCTGCGCCATTGCAAACGATTTTGAGCCATGTCATTCAGGGTCTCTAACCATCGGTTGCTGTCATCTCGCGGTCCCCAACCAGGTAGTCTACACTTACCAACATGACTCAGTTCACTTGTCAGTGACTTCATGGACTTGTGCCATGTTTTGGTTTGGCCGCCCCTAGCTTTCTTCCAACCTACTCCTATACCACTGAACATAGCACGTCGAGGCAGTCGGTCGTTGGGCATACGTAACACGTGTCCCAGCCATCTCAACTGATGAAGTTTCACTACTCCATCAATTGATTTGCCATCCTTACCTAGTACCCGTTTCCTAACAACTGTGTTACTTACTCGATGGTCCCATGATATATGAGCTATGTTTCGAAGACACCTATGATCAAATACTAGTAACCTACGGATATCCTCTACTCTTACCGGCCATGTTTCACTGCCATAAAGCAGGACGGAACGAACTGCTGCGCAGTAAACATGTCCTTTGGTTGATAGACGGATATCTCTCCTACGCCATAAATGACGCAAGTTGGCAAAAGCTAGTCGAGCCTTCTGTATCCGTGCTGAGATTTCGTCACACACCAAACCACAAGGGCTGATGAGACTTCCAAGATAAGTGAAGCGGTCGACACACTCAACTACTTCACTCCCTATCACTAGTTCGGGTGTCGATGTAACCCAATCCTGAAGCAACATTTTGCATTTCGAGGGAGAGAATCGCATCCCGAACATGCTTGCATTGTTGCTTAGAGTGGTCAGAAGACTCTACATTTTGTCAGCGTCTTCACCAAATAAAACTATGTCATCAGCATATTCTAAGTCAACAAGTGAACCTCCCGGTAGAAGTTCAACCCCTGTATATTTAGATGAGAAGGGTGTTATCTCTAAAGGTACGTCAATGACAAAGTTGAACAAGAATGGGGAGAGTGGACAGCCCTGACGAACACCACTTGAGGTGATCAATTCTGATGACAGTTCGCCATAAGCTCTCACTCGACCAGTTGTGTTCGAGTAGAGAGCCTTTATAAGGTTAATGTACTTCTTTGGTACTCCTTTCAGTGACAAACACTGCCATAGAACCTCACGATCAACAGAGTCGAATGCCGCCTTAAGGTCGAGAAATACTACCATTGTGGGGCGTCTGAATGTGTGTCTGTGTTCTAGAACCTGGCGTAGTGTGAATATCTGGTCTATACAACCACGTCCAGGTCGAAAACCAGCCTGGTTTTCTCTAGTCTGCTCTTCACGAGCTTTAGTTAGGCGTCGAAGTATTATTGAGGCTAATATTTTAGACACTATATTAGTCAAACTGATTCCTCTGTGATGGTCACAAGAGGACTTTTGTCCTTTCTTAAAAACTGGCACAATCAGTGATTGAGACCAGTCAGATGGGATTACGTCCAGTTCCCAAATTCTACCTAAGACCTCGGTTAATCTCATTGCTAATACTGGACCACCATCCTTAAAAATCTCAGGAGTAAACCTGTCAGGGCCTGCTGACAGGTTTACTGCTAAAGTTTAAATTTAAATTATTACTATTATTTAGCAGTGAAAAGTAACCTGAAATGATATATTGTAAGACACTACATCACATAGAGGATAGAGAACATTAATAAGCATAATAGATGAAACAACCCGTTAGACGCAATAAAGATTTTGGATTGTATTTGTTCATTTAACAACACAAATCTTGGTACAATAAGGCACCAAAAAAGCACCAAACAAATGAAATATTTTCGTCAAAAAATAATAGAAAAACGGTAATCAAATCGATAAATAAAAATGCAGTTTAATTAAAAAACCAGCCAACAAACACATCAGTTAAGACTCAACCCACTTTTATGAGGAGTATAATAGAAAACTACAAGATTGATATTCACTTCTATTCTGAGCCATGTCATATAACATCTTGAATAACTAAATCGCACAATCTCTCTGATCTAAACAAAAAAGTCGTGATGGATTGGTAGATCGCGATTCTAAGCAGCTTTCTTTCATACCACGATGACATTTCACAAACTGATTACCCGTTCACCTTTACCACTAAATTCCAGAGTCACTAGATGATGTACGGTATGGAAGTCACTGGCATGAAATTCGTGAGACATATTCAAGCAACCAAAGCTGATGTTCCAAGATGACGACATTAATTGAGCTGTCAACAATGCTCCCAGAACGCACATTACCGAATTACAGCATTAATAAAGTAGTGTTGCTACTTGAGGTCAGAAATCATTTGGAGAAAATGGTAAGCGAATACTGGACCCCCCAGACATTCTTAGATCGGGTGAACCAGGTTTCGAAATCACACTACGAAGCTGTAAACCAGACATTTTATGGCTAGACTAACATCAAGACGCCACCAAGATGATAAAGACTGGGATAATTTCCTTTAGTTTCCACTATATATATATAGGTTGACCTCACCTGTCTCTCCATCATTAGCAATCACACATTTACTCGAATAAACGAATACTTCAGTTATTTTCAGTGGTCCACAAAAAGAAGTGGAGCTAGACAAAGGCCTCTACTGATCCCACAGTTCGAATACTAGATGCGGTGGAATGGAGATGTGAAAATATATTAGTGCACTGGTTTATGATTGAATTTCCATTGTTTTTTAAGAATATGTTGCTGATAAAGAGCTTTTTTTGTTTCCAGCCTATTGCTCCATTTTAATTGCTAACAATAAGACTGTAGTATACTGTCTTGATGTTTTATTGGAGAAGTAGAAGTTGTGGTTCACCAGTCTATAGGGACTTGAGAGTTAATCAATTGGTCGCGGTTTTAAACTCTATTCCATTAATCAGGGTTTGGTAGGAGTATATATCATACCGGCTCTAGCACAATAAGTATAGTTTGAAGATCCACCTTATCCATATTCATGAATGCCTGGAACAATCGGAAAAACTGGTGAACCCATTGGTATACACCTTCTTTTTGTCTGTAAAGGTCTCCTCGAAATATCAATAAGGTGGATCTTAAACATAATTCCAAGGATTTCATAACCTCAGATGGACCTAATGGGCATCGTAAATCCAAATCAGATTATAGTGAATCTATTAATGCTGTCCCTAGAAACCAGTGCAATCTTGAGAAGTGTATGTCCTACAAAGGTCTGATTACGCTATGTAGACGATATTTTTATTATCATTAAACGCAATGGTTTAGAAGAATTGTTTGAAAATGTAAACAACATTTCGGAGAGCATAAAGCTAACGAAGGAAATAGAATCCGTTGACCACAAACTAGCGTTTCTCGACTGTTTGGTTGAACGAAGATAAAACAATATTAAGTTGAAAATAAATGTGTTCAGGAAGTCAACACATTCTGAAAGATACTTAGATTTTGGTCCGCCTCATGCGCTGTGTACAAAAGTCACTGTTGTAAAAACTTTAATTAAAAGAAGTATTAAGCTCGTTGCAGATAAGAAAGACCAACAAGTTGAATTGAATAGAGTTTTGTCTACAATTAGGGATAACAACTATCCAAAAAAGTTCTTAAAGATTATTAGAAAAAGAAGAAAATTTAAACTAGAATGTATACTGACAGATTAGAAGTCCACAGTGGTCATTCCATACTGTAGTGAAACATCGGAAGAAATGAAGTGGATTCTAAACAAACATGATGTAACTGTATTTTCGGGGGTGTGACACCATAAGATCGGCATTAGTGAAAGCTAAGGATAAGTCCCCAAAGGAAGAACAAAATATTGCCTATGAGATCAACTGTCATTGTAATTCAGCTTATGTGGGGGAAACATCCAGACAATTGAATGTAAGGTTGAAGGAACGAATACAGTGTTTGAAATACATTCCCGAATCCACGGTTGCCTTAATAAAACTTGTGAATAAGTCTGTGATAGCGTTACATGCGTTAGGAACAGGACACATGATTAATTTCGAAGGGACCAAAATACTTCAGGAAGGTTTTAACTCATAAAGAAAGATTGACAGCAAAAGCGCTGTATAAGTGGGCGAATAAGAACAGCCTAAACAGAGAGGATGGTATTCAGCTAACAACTACTTGACAAATATTAGCTATTAAGTAACTGGGTCCATTTCTTTATTCAACCTGTTTATTTCACTTGCATCGTTATATACTTCTTTGATGATTTTGATAACTACCCTGAAGAAGTCTAGACAAGTTGGCTGGACGAAACGTTGGGATTATTTAAATTTCAATCGCTGAGATTATTTCAAATATAATTTTCACATATAATGACATCTATACATACTATTAAGTAAATGGAACTGACGACCTAATGACAAAGAAGTACATGGAAATCGATAAGACCAATAATTAGCTTGAAAAGCCGACAGAAAATATCGGGTGTCTGTCATATATATATATATATATATATATATATATATATATATATATATATCGGAGTTGATTTCAGGTGTTTAGATGAAACAGATGTCCCTATCATAGGGCAGAAATCCAGAGTCATTTAGTAAACTGATCTCAAATTATCTACTCACAAGTTCAATGTACGAATCATGTGTATCTAATTAAAAGACAACTTACCCGTGAATTCCAGGTGTCCATAGTTTTTAATGAACTACTATTTAGATCTGGAGAGTTTGTGCGATTATTTGAAGATCCCGTTGTACGAAGCTGAATGATCAGGTCTGGTTTAACTAAGAGTATTTGTTCTAACAGCAGTGTTAATCCAAGCCCTGGGAGTAAGACAATAATGACATTTTATATACATAGCACTTGAACAAACTTATTTTGAACATTACACTTGATATCAGTTTTAGTTATTCAATACACTAAACTGCTTCGGCTTGGACACCCGGGCAGTATCCTAGTCCCCACACAAATCGGATGATTTACGAGGGTCATATCTATTTGGTGCCTTCTTGTACCAATGTTTGTGTTTAAATAAATAAATACATTAAACTTGGTACAACTGGCAACAAAATAGATATAGGTTACGCAATTACAGAGATAACAGGGTGAAGGAAATAAAGTCGAAAAGAAGAAATAAGTAGCTAAAGACAGTATATAATGGGAGATACAGCTCAGACAGTAATACAGCAGAGTGACAGCTCTTCCAACTAAGGGAATTCCTTTTATTCTTTATAAAAATACAAAAACTACAGCAAGAGCCACACTGGTTTTGTTGAGCCATATCATTTAACGTCTTAAACCACTAAACTGAACTATTTCTCTGACCCTAACAAGGGGGTTGTGATAGACTGACGGATCCTAATACTATAAAGCTTTCGTTCACTCCACAATGACATGTCATAAACTGGTCACCAGTAGGTTAGTTCGCCATCGTTCTTAAAATGACCCGGAGGCAGATCGTTTGAGCCTAGTAACCATGACACGAAACTATACTGCACCTGTGTTTCAAAATGTCTTATCAGAAAACAAATGAATGAAAAACATTGTATCAGTACTCGGAAGAATTATCTTATTTGTAATATGCTAAAAGCTGGTAACTATGGCTGAAATAAAAATAATTATGGAGAGTAATATAAAATCTCGTTGATCAAAAGAAATCTTCGTATGCATAATTGGGATGTTTGTGTGCCCACTATGTTCCAATTTTATCAATAATATGTCCAAAAAAAACTACAAAGAATCTAACTAACACTGGTATTTCTCATGTGTTAAAACAATTGATAATTACTCTGTAAAAAAGTATTATTAAGGAGCTTTCAGGTTGTCATTTAGTTGGTGGTGATAAGCAACGTGAAACCTGGTACAGACAGGCATCAGTCCAATTTACTACATTACATTGGCACAGAGAGATGACATCATAAACACAAATACAAAGATGATGAAATTAGTAATGGCAACTAAAAATTAGAAATGGGAAATGTAATCCGAGAGAGGAAATATGAGATAATGCCGAAACTCGGCACTTAGGGGTAGACAAAGAAACGATCCATTTGTATTACGGTGATGGAATCGCTGATCACGATTATCGCCCGGTCCTAACCAGATAATCTAACAAAAAGATATATACCATTATTCGGTGACTTCACGGACTGATGACAACTCTTAGTTTGTATTGAAACTGAATATCGGAAATGAAACCCTTTCTGAACACTTCTACGTACTCGAGCGTCAAGATACTTCGCAAAAACTATATAAATTGAATTTTATGAGACAAGAGCCTCATATAGCGATAAAATAACTTTCTGATCCAAACAATTTATTTTCCAGTAGTTAGTATGGACCAACAGGGTAAAATACGGAATGATTATTTATTTATTTGAACACATAAATATTGGTACAAGAGAACGCCAATATATACGCGCCACACAAAACAATGAGAATTCGAAGAGGAAGAAAAAAAGGTAAGGAGCGTAAAAAAAAGAGAACAATAACGAAGAGGTTGGTGTAAGGTAGTGTAGTAATAATAATAGTAATAATGAGGGAACGGAAAGGTACAATCAGAAGAAATCTTTCAGTTAAGGGAGACACAATCACTTTTTTTATGAAGAAAGTAAAAGAAGGTTACAGCAGGATCGCCACTGGCTTCTATTCTGAGCCATATCTGATAACGTCTCTAGACACTGTGTTGCACCATCTCTCCGACTCCAGACAGGGAGTCGTGAAAGACCAACAGAAGCCAGCCCTTTGTAACTCTCTTTCATACCACGACACTATGTCATACACTGACCACCTCTCCGCTTTTTCCAATCAGTCCCAGTGTCGACAAATAATGCACGACGTGGGATTCTCTGGGATGACATTCGTAGAACATGTCCAAGCCACCGAAGTCGGTGTTTCAGGATGGTGACACCAATCGCATTACCGTCTCTGTGCCCGAACACACGATGCTGAACCTCTGGATTACTAACATGGTGTTGCCACTGGATGTCAGCAATCCTTTGAAGACAACGATGATCAAACACAGAGAGTCGTCTAACACCCTCAACTCGGAGAGGCTAGGTTTCACAAGCGTAGAGTAAGACCTCTCTCCCCGACGCGTTGTAGATCCGACCTTTTACAGCCAGACTGACATCACGAAGGCGCCAAAGATGGCCCAGATTGGCATAAGCCGCTCTGGCTCTCACTATACGTGAATTTATCCCATCACTCAGGCTACCACCAGCACTCATACAGCTACCCAGATACACGAACTTCTCGACTACTTCTATCTGCTCACCATCCAGAGTGAGTGCAGGGTTAGAATCCTGCCAGTCTTGTAGAAGTACTTTGCACTTCGAAGGTGCAAAGCACATACCGTAGCTACGGACACTGATTGCCAACTGAGTAAGTGCGGATTGCATTCCTTGGGTATTGTCGCACAGTAAAACGATATCATCCACGTACTCAAGGTCGAGAATTCTTTCTCCAGACAACGGAACAATGGAGAGAGGTGGTTGTATGCCCTCACTCTGCCTGAGGTGTTTGTATATAGGGCTTTTAGGATGTTAATAAACTTCTCAGGCACACCCTTCTTCAATAGACAATCCCAGAGAACAGTCCTGTCCAACGAATCGAAGGCAGCCCTGATATCAAGAAACACTACGATTGTTGGCCTTTGATAAGTATGACGGTGTTCTAACATTTGGCGGAGGGTGAAGATATGATCAATACATCCTCGACCAGAACGAAACCCAGCCTGCTCCTCGCGAGTCAATCTTTCTCGAGTTTTGAACAACCTACGAAGTATGACGGAAGCCAATAGCTTGAACGCAATCCGAAGTAGACTTATCCCCCGATAGTTGTTACAGGAACAACGTGAACCCTTTTTAAAGATAGGGACAACTATCGACTCATTCCATGACGTTGGTACACTCTCTAGTTCCCAAACCTTTGTAAACAACGTCGTCAGTTCCTTAGTCAGAAAGTCATCACCATCTTTAAAAAGAGCCGGAGGTAAGTCATCTGGGCCAGGTGATTTGTAGCGCCTCAAGAGTTGGAGTTCCTTGCGGACTTCCTTCTCGTTTGGTGGATCAGTCGTCACCGGCGATGGAGGGCAGGACAGTTTGACCGATATTGCCGGAGCAGCAGGCCAGTTGAACTGCCCTTCGAAAAATTCTGCCCATCGTCCAAGACGTCGATGGATGTTAGTGATCGGCATCCCATCATCCTCGCAGATTGTTTCACTCACACCAGACTTCTTGCTGCCAATGGCTCGGATGAGTTGGAAGAGCTTCCGGTAATTACCAGATTCAGCTGCTGCTTCCAACTCATTAGCGCGCTCCGACCACCAGGCTTCTCGGTCGTTACGCAAGCTTTGCCCAACTTCATTACGTAACATCCTTCGTTTGTGGTCAAACTCACGGTCACCCGGAGTAGACCGACGGGCTTCAATGAGTTGTAAGGAACCTGAAGAAACCCAGTGCTTATAAGCGGGACGTTTCGCAAACCCACAACTGACTGTACCCGCCATTTTCATGGCGTCATGCAATTGCAACCAATGCTCATCTATACTTTTCAGTGGAATGGTAGCTAGCCTAGAAGCTAGCTCGATTCGATACTTACTAGCAAAAGAAGTTGCAACCAGCTTGCTAATATCAATCCGTTGGTGGCGGTCACTTCGTTGTCCACTGAAAAGTAAGGTAAGATTGGCGCAGACCAAAGCATGGTCAGAGTCTAGATAGGTACTCCAAAAGGAGCGGCAGTCTTGTACACAACCACGCCAGCGGTAGCTGATCGCGATGTGATCAATTTGAGTTCAGGCTTGGGATGCAGAGGGAGGAACGCCAGGTGGCACATCGGCGATGACTGTGCCGAAAGTTAGTGCTAGCCAGAAACAGGTTGTGGTCTGTGCACAGTTGCAGTAGACGGTCCCAGTTATCTGACCGGCGACCAACGAGTTCCCATCGGTCACCTAAACGACTCTCTTCTGTGCCTAGACGCCCGACCTGAGCATTCAAGTCTCCGACTAGTACTACAATATCTGTCGAACGCACTTTCTGGAGAAGAACAGATAACTGGTGGTAAAACTCATCCTTGAATGCATTCAGGCTGCAATCTGTCGGAGCATAGGCGGAGATGACGAAAAGACATAGTTTCTCACGCCGATTTCTTCTCACTTTGACGGAACTCTCTAATCTAACAGCACATAACCGACTGTTAATGGGGATCCAATCGATTAATGCTGCCTCCGCTCTAGCGCTTAGTGCGACACCAACGCCAGCAAGACCAGACGAAGATGCCACAGGGTCCCCGGATAAGCGCACGTAAAACAAGCTTTTCGAAGCGACAGATGGAGAGAGAATTTGTAGTACTTCACCAGTGTCTTGAATACGGGTCTCAGATAGACAGCAGACATAGATATGAAGACTTTCCAAAGACATAGTCAGCCCTATCTGTTGTCCAACCTGCATAAGAGTGCGAACGTTGAAGGCATCCAGTTTGAATGGTGCACGTGGTTTCAGAAAAACTGCTTCAGTACTCATATTCAGTGGTAATATACAATTTTCAACCGGACAGTGACTCGAGAACGTTTATATACAGTCGAATATCCACCAAAGACGAGCCGCTGTATAAGTATAAAAGAGGGTGAATAATGTGGTAAATAATAATAATAATAATAATAATAATAATAATAATAATAATAATAATAGTAATAATAATCATTTGAATCATTTGATTGTTATTCGAAGCGAGAAAAGTAGTTTCCATAGATATAGAGAGTTCATCATTTGCGTGTGAGCTGCGATAATGCCCGGGTGCCCAGACCGAAGCAGGAGGTTAACTTAGGGGGCCACACCCCGAGCCTTTGACCTAAAGGTCTAACCCGCAAGACAGTGGAGCATCGTAAGGAGATGCAGTCCCATGGTAGCCGGTGACCAACGATTGGTTCATACGCCATTTGTTCCCGCAGGATACTGGAACCCATGTGCACCATTGGTTTGGGATCCGGTTAAAGCGTCGGACATTCGAAGTTCGTTTTCTGGATTATGAAACATTATAATACTAAGTGGATCTTCTTTGGTATAATGACTGAACCATCGTTTAGCAGACATTTGTGTTTTATTTATTATTATTTATTTAAACAAATAAACTCGCTTAAAAACGCTAACCAGAAAAATAATTCAAATATTGGTACAACAGGCACCGAATATATATGTGCCACACAAGTCACTTGATTTGTGTGTGGACTGTGATACTGCCTGGGCGCCCAGACCGAAGCAGGTGGTTTTCTTGGAGGGGCCACACTCGGAGCGTTTGACGTAAAGATCTGATCCACAATCCAGTGGAGAAACGTCAAGTGATACAATCCCATTGTAGCCATTGACCAACAATCGGTTCATATGCCATTTGTTTCCTCAGAATCCTGGAGCCCATGTGCACCACTGGTTTGGAATCAGGGTTTTCTAACTCTTTTAGGTGGATCCTCCATATCCACCAATCCGGTTAAAGCTCCGGACATTCGCCTTTTGTCCTCCCAATTTCGTAAACAACACCTCTTCCACGAGAAGGCAGTGAGTAGGATTTCCCTGGCAGAGGCTGTATACGCGTGGTCATGTGAGATCATTTGAAGGGAGAGCGGACTTTCCCCACCCTCGGCCGTACCAGGGCATTTGGAAGCTTTTGTGCGGTATATCAGGGTTCTTAGGTAATGGATTGTGTTGTAAATGACAGCAAAGTGTTATAAATATTGATAAAAACGGCCTGCGAATGTCAAACGTACCGATTGAAAACTGTTTACTTAGATGATGATGGTCAGGTTACGAAAAAACACTAGATTTTCCTAATCAAAATGCATAGGCGGAAATATTTGCATTTTGTTTTACGGTGGGTCGTGTAATTTTACTTAAAATTTCTGTAGAATCACTGACGTCGTCCAATAAAGTATTTCAGAGAAAAATTTATTTAGACATAGGTATCGCGATAAATACCAAAACAATAGTTTTTGATTAACGGTGACTAAAAACATACCTTGCATCCAGCCCATTGTATTGACTAGTAAACGCGGCTTTGGTTCAGGTAAATTAACGTAGGCATCATATACAAAGTTGAGACATTTCAAGTAGAAACTGGGATCATCAGAGGGTGTAATGCAACCGACAAAACACTGACTAGAATATAATAGATATTCAGAGATTCACATGGATTCAGAGATGATGAGGATGAACGATTTAGAAACATCAAAACGAAGAACATGGGAGACAGAATATTTTAATGCTTAGACTAGGTACAAGACAATCAGAATAATTACCTTCACATGCAACGTAAAATATGTACAAAAAACTAGCAGAGACCAAATATGATAGACAGTAACTACTTTATTTGGAAATTACTAGAACATTGGACTGAAATGAACCTAAAGACAAACGATGCAAAGGTTTTTCAGAACTAGAAGCATCACTGTATCGTCTAGATGATATAATTTTGATTCCAAGCACAAATTATATAAATTATCTTACTGAAACTTGGTCGGTTGGAACAGCATGAAGTGTGGTATCTTTTATTACAACATACCACGACTTGATTTTAGGGAATCGTATCTTTATGTATTTGGGCATTACAGCATATTACGAAGAGCCAATTACGTTTCACAAAAGTATGATGATCCTATCAACTAGATAAAACATCAAATAATGACAGACTAAATTCAACGACTGTATAGAGGGTCTGTAAATTATTTTTGCCCTCAAATATTAAGATCCTGTCTGTCATTTCAGAAACTGGAAGTATATATGTGTATGATCACGGAATTCGACACAAATGTGATCTCGAAATGTAAAGTCACCTGATGAAATAAAAACTAAGGTGTGAACGACAAGGATTTTATGAAGTGTCAGCTTAGCACTTAACCAGTAGACATTATCACTCTACAAAGTTTGTGAAAAGTTTCAGATTAACATCTATTTGGTATTGATTTAAATTAGTGCCCAAGCAAGTGTGACGCGTTAAAATCCCCATTAATTATGAACTAACTACAAAACAATCAAATTAATCGACTACAGGTGACTACAAATAAGGGGTAATGGGGAATACATTACTATAAATGCACTTTAGATTGGAAGCATTCATGTCGTGCTTAAAATACCACCAATTGCACTTTCAAGGTTATATCGAGAACTTACCGGAGAATATTTACATTAGTGGATAAAATATGAGTATACGGAGGACCAAACAGTGGCAGTTTGACTAGACACAAACTTATAATTCCATTCGGGGTAAATTCAGGTTGCCCAATATCACAATCAAGAACTGCAACACACTTTTCTTTAAGAGGATATTCCACATCTGTAAGGATTATGTTTGATAAAAAACGCAGTAGAGATGACTTTCCAGCACCCTTCGGACCACAAATTAGTAATTTCCTTACATTATCATCACATGGATCAACTACGGGGACGGAGCGAAGTCTCAGTGAAATACGTGAAACTTCTGGTGCGACCTGATATCCAAGGCTCCCATCATGTTCGAGAAAAGTAAACCCAAGTAACTTAGCTAAGGAGGCATTTGGTACAGTGCCTTCTGATGGCAGATGGAACAAAAAACGGAACCGTTTAATCTCAGAAAGTGAGTTTAGGACTCGACTCCGATGAGGACTGAAGTGTAAAACAGTCACATGGTCCCGAAAGACACTCATTTCTTTGCCAAGACGTTCTGTCAGAACTTGAACATCACTTGGATCACACAAACTCTCTAGAGCGACTTTGATTTCGGAAGATTGAAGTCCCTGAGCTGCATTTTTATTTACATATTCCGATTTTTCGTGTGGGCATTGAGTAATAGATAATGGAGTGTGTGAAGTAGGTGAATAAAGATCATATGAGCTGGAAGGATTTGGTCTTATATTTCCTCCCCATATAGTGATCATTGGCCCACATAAGTGAGTAAATCTTGCTTTACCAAAAATTGCGAGGTGTGTATCACAACCAAGTAAAATGAAGCAGGAACATAAACGTCTACTTGACAAGTATACAATTATCTGAGCTCGTTTAGATTCAAACATAGTGACAAAAAGTTTTTGCTTATTCCAATTACTAGTCGCGTCAGTTTCATCGTGCAGATCCTGAGATTTTTGACGCGGAATCTTCTTGAAAGCAAACATGAGATGTCGACTACTGTTCAAATCCACCTCATTCACACGACCTTAACTGGTTTCAAATGGTTCAAATGTTCAAATGGTTGTGGACGGAATAGAAGAAGCTTTCGCTTAACAGGCTTCCGTGTCTAGTAGCAGGGGATCACCAAATCCTCCAGGCAGGAACCTAGGTATGTTAACAATAAAAAAGGAAAAGAAATTGGTAAATCATAATGTGATGCTGTCCTTGGTCCTTAAGAATAGGTCAAGTTGCCTCTTGAAGGACTCCTGAGAAGTCGCTTGGACTAGCTCGGCCGGCAGCGAATTCCAGCTTTTGACAACTCTTAAGGAGTAGAAGTTGTGTCTACATTCCGTCTTGCTATGTTGTCTTTCCAGTTTCTGGGTGTTACCCCTTAGGTTATTATTCGAACTGAGCTTAAGTAGGTGTTTAAGAGGATGTCCAGAAGTGTTAAGAATGCTATAAGCCATTAGTAAATCACCTCTAAGACGCCTATATTCTAGTGGGTAAAGGTCTAGTGAACGGAGGCGTTCTTCGTAAGGCTTAGATTTGAGTCCTCGAACTGATTTCGTGGCTCGCCGTTGGATACGCTCCAAAGTGACTTTGTCCTTATGGAGTGAGGGGGGAGTACTATGTTTCCGTACTCTAAATGGGGACGGATGAAACTATTGAAGATTGTATGGAAAGTTCTTCCGTCAAACTGGCCAAAAATGCGCTTCAACGTTACCAGTGCAAGGTTTGCTCGGAAGGCATTGTTGTCACAGTTAGCGTAAGACTTTAAGTCATGGGGCACCAGGACTCCTAAATCTTTTTCGACTTGGGATACTACTAGAGAGGAGTTTCCTAAGTTGTAACTGTAGTTTGCGACATGTCGCAGATGGACTACTTTACACTTTGAAGTGTTAAAGGTAAGTCCGTAATCGTCTGCCCAACTTTGAAGTCGCGTCAGATCCTCCTGAAGTGCCTGTGTATCGTCTTGGTTGCGTATCTCTCTCCAAAGTTTCACGTCGTCGGCAAAAAGTAGTAAGTCTGACGTTACCTGTTGAGGAAGATCATTTATGTAGATCAAGAAGAGAAGAGGCCCTAGTACTGAGCCCTGGGGGACCCCACTAGGACATTCCATAGCCTGAGATAAAGTGGAATTAACCCTAACCTTAAAGTGTCGATTTTTTAGGTATGAAGTAAGCCAATCGATTAGAGGTGGTTTGATACCTAGTCGTTTGAGCTTGTTGATAAGACACAAGTGGTTAACCTTATCAAAAGCTTTTGAGAAATCAAGGTAAATGACGTCAACCTTTCCCTTGCAATCGAGGATGCTTGTCCATCTGTCCACCGCAGTCAGCAGGTTGGTTATACAAGAGTAACCCTTCCTGAAACCATGCTGTTGGGGTGAGAAGAAATTTAAGGACAGTAGATAGTCATTTAAGCCGTCGCATATCAGGGACTCCATGAGTTTTGAAGGTAATGACAGAAGAGCCACCGGCCGATAGCTTGAAGGTTCATTGCGTCGACCACCTTTGAAAATTGGTGTGATGTGAGCCAACTTCCAGTTTTCCGGTAATTTGCCTCGGCTAAGCGAGTGTGAAAACATCACGCTAAGCGGCGTTGCCAGGATTGAGGCTGCCTCCCTCAGTATGGCAGGATGAACCATATCCGGGCCAGGAGAAGTGTCAAGTCTTAAGTGCTGCAATTTCCGGAACACCAAGTCAGCGCTTAGGTCCACTTCAGAAAGTCCTGTGGAGTTGGAGATGAAACTGTCGTCAATAAAGTTGATGTCAGCCGGTTGAAATGTTTGAGAGTAATGGGCCGCCAGAAGGTTAGCGGCGTCGCCATCGTTGTTGGTTGGGCCGTTAAGACATAGCAGTTGAGAAACTCCTGTTTTGGCTTGACGAAGAGAGGCTGCGTAACGGAATAGGCTTCTAGGGTTAGAGGCGAATTTGTCCATAAGCTTTGTTTGGTACTGAAGCCTGTCTTCTCTTATAGCCTTCGTGCATGTGTTCCTGATATGTTTGTATTGCCTATACGCTCCATCGTTATTAGTTCGTTTGTATTCCGCCCAACAGTGCCGTTTGCGGCTTAGGAGGCGAAGGGTACGGTTTTTGATTACTGTAGGTGGCTTGAAGCTTTTGGGAACCATTTGAGGAACTGAATGGTCTGTAGCACATAAGAGCGTGTGCAGTAAGAAGTCCCAATGACCATCCACATCAACTTGAGGGTGAACATCCCAAACCACCTGTTGTAGATAGTCATGTAGAGCTGGCACATTCAGCCGTCTAAAATTCCAACGCAAATTATTGTTGGGATACCTTAGCTTAGTTTTGATGACAAAACTGAAGGCTATGACGGCATGATCGCTTTTTCCCAGAGGAGCCAGGATTGAGAGGTTGTCGACTAGGAATTCTTCGTTAGTGAATACACAGTCTAAGCGCGATGGTGTCTGACTGTTTCTCCAACGAGTTGCCGACCTCACATTTTCATATAAGCCCAAGTCATCGATGAGGTTGAAGAACCGAGCTTCAATTGAGTTGTCGCCTCCAGTGTACGTGTGTTCCGCGAAGCTGACTCTAGGGAGATTAAAGTCCCCTAGAATCAGGATGTGTGTGAAACCGAGACGGATAGAGCGTGATAGTCCTTCCAGAATACGACTATCGTACTCGGTGTCGGCAGTTGGCTTCCTGTAAATGACTCCGACTAGACACCTGGAAGTACTAGACAATCTTACAGAGCACCATATGGATTCCTCAAGATTGTTAAACTCGAGGTTGTGAACCTGGTGCACCTCCAAGCAAGAGCTTATGTATATGGCTACTCCGCCCCCAATTCCTGTTTTTCTGTCGTTGCGGAACAAAGTCATCCCAGGCAATGCTAACTCTTGGTCCGAGAACTGAGAAGATATCCAGGTTTCAGATATTCCTATCAGATGGGCCTTATTAGCGTTGCTAAGTTCACGTAGTTCATCCAGTTTGTTTGGTAGACTCGCGGCGTTCATATATAAGCAGTTTATGCTTTCAATTTGGAACGCGTGAGCTTCGTCCTGTTTTTCTGTATGGACCTTATGTGAATGGACAGGTAGCCCACCTATGTGAGGTTTGCCGAGGTGGTAGGCCCTGTCCTTTACACGTTTTTTTATCGTTTAGACAGTCCACAAGTGGAATGGTCAGCTCCAACTTGTCTTTGTTCTTGGTCCTAACTTCGTATGGCCTATCCGGGTGCATGTGGATTCCAGGTGGCAATCGACGTCTATTAGCACGAAATGCTTCCAGAACTGCAGCCGCCATGTGGGAAGATGGGAAGCTCATCTTCATTAGACGGGGTCTAAGATCACCGTCCTTCTTGGCTAGTCTCGTCACATGCTGAGTCAGTATGTGTTTGAGCCTCAAGGACTGTTTGATGAATTTCCATTCCCTGATGTCAGAATTTGATTGAGTAGGGTCTGCATTTTCCGGTATACCTTGGACAATTATGTTTCTTCCGCGGAAAAACTTCTCGCGAGATTCTTTAGGGACGTTTCGTATGATACTGCGCTCAGAGTACGGTATGTCGAGCAGTATTCTTACGTTACCATCTGATTTCAGCAAGTGGCTTGCTAGCAAGACGTCCTCTACGTCGGTAGCAGCCTTAAGTGTTATTCGGAGAAGCCTCGGGTGATTTAGATGCTTAGAATCCTTTCCTCGAGTGAGCCGGGTGACCGTCAAAGGCTCTATTCTAGGAAGTTCGAGCTTCTTGTTCAATTCACCCCAGAGCATCCTGTCGTTTTTGTCCTGCAGACTGAGAGGAAGATCAGGATTGTCAACGAGGTTCATGATAATGAGAGAATCGTCACGAACTGTTGTTAATTTACCAGGTTTCACAATGGGTTCAGGTTTAGTAACTTGTTGTTTGGAGGTCAGTGTGCGTTTATGAATCATGGGCTCTTTATTGACCGGACGAACAGTCTTGGGGGTAGACTGTGCGACTAAATTACCAGTTATTTTCCGTGCAGCAACACTTGGGTTGCTCGGCTTAGGTGGTGATGCCTGGTTCTTTTGGGCTCTCTTAACGTGGGTCGAATCACATGCAGGGTTTTTGGCAACCACTGTTGTGTTCGGGGACCCTGAGATGGGAGACCCGAGTTTGCCTAGGGAGTTCAGTACCGTCGACGTAATGATGGTACTGAGCCTCGACACGTCGTCGTTAGTGTGGATGGATGCTCCATCGATGGAATACCTATCGACATCCCTGTTTTTGAGTCCGTTGCACGCTCTTGTTTGTATATCAGTTTTTTTACTATCGTTTTCCAAGTTAACTGACAACTTGTTCCGAAGACATGTCAGTAGGACAATGATGTTACTCAGCAAGACTACGGAGTCTGTGTTGCACGTGACACACACCCACTTTTGCTCTGACTTGCTGAGTCTGTTGTAAGCAGTTGCTGTCAGATCTGTGCATGCTTCGTGGAACCAACCTTTGCAGTTGTCGCACTGCATGCCAGTTGTGACAGCAAAACGGCATCCTGGACGTTTGCATGAGTTTTTCATGACGGTGTTGAAGCAAATTATGTTATAGATGCTTGCAAGAGCCTAAGACCTTTTTAAAAAAACACTAAAAAGCACACTGAAAACGGACAAAAATGGACAAAACGAGTGATATAAACTGAAACTAGTCTATACGTGAAAAACAAAAAAAACCGAATAGTAAGCTGAGGCAAAACCACAGGTAACTATTAAATATAGTGAAACTCAAAAAAAAGTAATCTACCGAACGTATAGCTCAGGATAGATTCTTTAGAACTGAAATGGTACTTTTGTTGCGTAAGAACACAGCAAAAGTTTGATAAATGCAAATCACGTTAGGACTAAACTTCCCGTTCGAAAAGCGCGGTTAATTGTCAAAGCGGGCGTTCTTCAGTCTTTAGTAATACGGATAGGAGGTCTAACGACCTATATTAATCTTTGCAGTTTGTAACACTGTAGAGGTTCAATTTCGTTTTGAATATATCAAAGTAACGTACTGACGTTACGTGTTCTGGTAGACAATTCCAGTAATTCACTAAAATGGTTCAAATGGTTGTAGACGGAACAGAAGA